TGTTGGGAATGTCATCTTGATGGTTGTCACTGTTGAGAATTTCGATGTAAACATTCCCCGGATCACTAACGTTGCTGTAGCGGTTGTGGCTCTTGCCGGTCTTGTTGTTTGTAGTTTTGTCTTTTTCGGCGTTTTTCTTTTTGTGTTTTTTCTCTCTGTTGTTTTTACTTCCGGCGTTAACTTTTTGGTAGAGATGTCCATCTTGGTTGATATGCTTCTTGAGGCTGGAGTAGGCTTCTTGTGGTTGCTGGCCGCCGTTGTTGTTGATCCCAGCGTACAAGTTGGAGCTGTGGTGCTTGTTCGCCTGGTTGTACCTGCATGGATCCCATCATGCCAGTCCGATTAGTTGTCCACGTAAATTGAATTATAATTGTATAAGGCGTATTAAAGTTTGGTGGTAAATTGTTCTCAAGTCTACGTTATCTTCAGTAGGGCACAACGTTTCAACAGCACTGCACTTGAATCCAAATGTGAAAAACAAATCATAACTTACCATGGGTTGCCAGATTCATCCCTACGGCCAAAACTTCTCCTAGGACATTCATAAGCGCCACCAACCGATCCACTACTCCTCACACCACCGTCTGCCATCACCACACCCACACCTCCACCAGACATCTCTTCAAAACATTCGATCATCTCGTCCAGGTTGATCTCATCGTAGACGGAGAGGTTGCGGTCGACCCTGGAAAGGGTGTTGGTGCGCAGGGAGGATGGGATGGATCCACCGCTGATGCTCGTTGATCCCTGGATGACTGGTGATGATGATTATGTTGATGGTGATAATGATGATGATGACAATGATGGTGATGATACACAACAAACGAACAGCAACAACAACAAACACCTTTTATCTTCTTGTTAATGCGGAAGTAGAAAATGGCGAAGCAGACAACTATGAAGATGAGTACGAGGACGAGAATGATGATGGGCAGGAAGAAGACGAGGTTGCCTGATCAAATTAATTTCAACCATTCATCATATTCGGAAGATGCAAAAATTTAAAAATTGACAATTTTTTTAAAATCTTATTGTCATAGGCATTGAAACAATTTACTTCAGTATAACATTTGAATTGAATAAATTTTGTAGCATTCTAACATGAATAGGTTTTAAATTTTGTGGGTGAAAATTTTGGGGTGAAAATGCACTTTTTCACTTCCAGTTTGCGCCTGGCTATTTTGTCATCATCATATCTTATCAATGTATTTTCATTTTAAGATAAGTAAATTCTCAATTATGTAAAATTTACGTCATGCAATTAATGTGCGTCAATAAAAAAAATGGACAATAAAACCAAAATGTAATTGTACATTCAAGCAATTTTATGTAATTTTATTAACTTTTAAGAATTTTTATCTATTTTGTGTACTTTCATGTGTTTTGTATGTTTCATGTACACATGTGTATATGCAGTACTAAATGTAATGTGTATACACAGGTACATGTATAACATATATTGTATATATAAAGGTACAGTGAATGTTGGGTGTAAACCAGTGTACGTACAGCGTACATTGTGCATATGTGTACAGTGTACTTAGGTACTATACACCAGTGTTTGTATAGTGTACATCGTATACAGAATACCAGACTGTACACATGTCTATAGTCCGGTATTTTGTAATACTAACCGCCATCTGTGGAGTGAGATCTTTCTTCAGTCGTTGATCTGTCTGTTACTGAGCCTGTAGAATTTGCCAGCATCCATGATTCACCAATTAATATTTTTATAATAATAATATAATTATAATTATGTATTTAATTATTGTTATTTATAATTATTATTATTCACAAATGTTATAATAATATTCACAATATTTTTCACAATAGTAATATTAATAATTGTATTATTAATTTTAAATAATTTGTCTTTATTACCGAGAGTCGGTTCACTTCCATTCCCGACTAAATACACCGACCAGTAATGTGAGTATTCGGGTGGATGTCGGTCGATGTCACTTTTGTCGTCTCGCTCATTCGATCCCTCGAATGTGGTGTTCACCAGAATATGGACCATCTCGTCGACACTGAACACGTTCTTGATGTAGAACTCGGTTTGAAAAGTTACAAGTTTCAGTAATTCGTCTTTGGAATTGTGTGTTATGTTTCCTGCTAGCTCTGACCCGTCGTAGGTCAAGGTCATTTTCGGTTTTAGATTTCCCTGGTAGCACAGAGTGCAGAGTAAATGGATATCAGTTTTTTTGTTTAAGATTATTTTCTGGTTCATTTCCGTTACTGGAATGACGTCGAAGTAAAGTTGTGGTCTAATGTGTTGTTGTCGTTGCTGCTGCTGCTGCTGTCGCTGTTTTTGCCCATTTGGTGGTTGTGGTGTCGATCCTTTTTTGGTTTGTTGGGAAACACTCAAATCACATATTGGTCCCTGTTCTATGAAAAAAATTATGTTTAAATTGTCGTAAACAAGTCGGAGCGTTTCACTGAGCCAGCTTACAAATTCGCAAATCTTCAAAATTTAGCTTCATTAAAAAATAATAATTTTAAAAGTTATTTCAACAACACGGAACAAAACAACTGATGCAACGTGACTAAACAACACAACGTACTTAAGACGACTACTTCAGCTTGCTTGGTCCTGGTGATCTTGATGTTTAAATAGTTGGGAAAGCAGACATAGGTACCAGCCGGAAACGGTACATTGGGTTGATTAGCCAAGAGATAATCGTAATTACTACTATTCGGTAATTGAGTCGGTATTATCCGATAAATATCGCCGTGGGCTATAATCTGTGTATGGTTGGCGATGAGTGACAACTCATTGGTAACCCACTGAAAAACTGACCAGCTATTGTAAGCTGGTAGTAATGATGGTAGGTATGTTGATAACGATGGTGAAAATAACATGGCTGCTAATAATGATGCCACCTTCTCATCGCATTGCAGGATTATTGTGTTTCTGACATCATCTGTGATTACTATGTTTCTCACACTGAATACTGGTGTATAAGTTTTTTTATTTTTAATTGTTATACTCGGGTATTTTTTGTAATAAGTAAGTCTAGTTATCGGCGTTGAATTTTGAAAAATCAGATAGTTAAGTAACTGAGAGTACTTTTTGCAATTTAAGAAATTTAAGCCTCTAGAAAATATTTTGTAAACAGTTTTCACAACATGAATTACATTTATATACTCTTTAAAAGTTATGATGATAATGAAAAAGTTGTGACGATATTGACGATAACAAAAATGGTGATGACTTTGAAAATGATGACAACGACGATGATGACGATGTGAGGAGGAGAAAGAGGACGATGGCGATGGTGATGAAAAGGATGTTTTTATGTGCCAGGCCATAAATAAAAGTAAAAAAAAACATGTATATAAGAATGATGCTTTTATATATCGAAGTAAGAGAAGTTTTTTTATATATATCGCTGAAGTGTTTGTCAAGCTGTTGACGATGGTCCTTTTCTGTGTTTGTTTTTGTTTCGTTTATCGTTGCTGATTGTTTTGCTGTTGTATGTTTATTGTCGCTGTTGTTGTTTGTTGAGGCAGTGTTTTGTTGTTTTTTTGTTGTTTTTTTGTGTTTGTGCTATTTTGTTTTATGTTGTGCTAGTTGTTTTATTTGCTGATGCTGTCGAGTCTGATGTTTTTATTCTTGTCATGCTTTGTTTGTGTTTTGCTCTGCTTGTTGCTATTGTTTGTGATTTGATTGTTGTTCTTGTTGTTTTTATCGCTACTAAAAGTTATTACATTATTTGGCAAGTGAAGGATTTATTGGATCTCGGGTGAAAAAACAAAACGCGTAGAATGAAAAAAATATATAATAACTAACATAATTATTATTAATTTGATAAAAATTAATAATTATTATTATTGTATTATATATTTATTAATTTTTTAATTATTCTTCAATGCATTCATTATTAATTAAACTTTGTTAATAAATATTCGCATTTAATATTTCACTTCAATTAAAAAACTTAATCAATATTCCAACTTGCATCATAACATTTTCTATGTTTGAGAATTAAGAGTTCTTTTTTTAGTTGTTAAATTAAGTAAAAGCTCTTGATGTCTCTCATAACTTTCGTAGTCTAGGCTTCATCTTTGATTCTAGTATATCTCTTCTTTCTCTGATTAATATTGTTGCTAGAAGCTCTTACTTTCATCTACATGGAATAAAAAAAACTTTTGCCTTCTCTTGACGATACTAATCTTCTCCTTTTTGTTACTTCTTTAGTTTTATCTGGGATTGATTATTGTAACTCGCTCTACTATGGTCTTCCTGATTCTACACTCTATCCTTTAAACAAAGCTTTTAACTCAGCTAGTTGCTCGTGCCCCTTTCTTTTCTCATATATCTCCATATCTTGATCTTTTGCACTGGCTACCTATAAAATATAGAATAATTTATAAAATTTGCACATTTATGTATAAGTCTCAATTTAAATTATTTCCTAATTGTTTATCATATATATTAATTGAACCTAAACGCTCCGGTTTACGATCGTCTTCTTGTTCTCGCTTCTTCTTAACTCTTATTAAACACTCTTTAGCTAAATCTGCATTTACTTTATCTGGCCCTTTATTCTGGAACTCTCTACCTACTCCCCTGACTTCTTCTTCATCACTTACGAAGTTCAGAGCTGATCTCGATACCCATCAGTTTGCAAAATACATTGAGGAGCGCCGTTGAACATCGCGGAAATAGACTGACTGAGTAAAATTTTATATATATAGCTTATATAATCAAAAAACGAAGTAAATAATTAAAAATTGACTAACCAAATTCGTAACAACATGCGATCAATAAGACAAAAACTAGTGTCTTTTTCATGTTATTGTTAATAATCTTCAAATGAAAATTACATGAAATAGCCAAAATAACAACTAAATCAACGATCAGCTTTGCTGATAACTTTCTGTTTGGGTAGTTTTAATATTTTTACTTGTCGCCTGTTAAGACATTATTTTTAATTATTAAATACACGATTGAGTGAGTTAATGGAACTAGATGCTTATAAAAATTAAGGAGTGATTTCTGCTTATAAGTTTATATTATATATTACTTATGTGGTTGAATTTGGGGCAGCCATCAAACGTGTTCATGCTTATACGACAAAAATGGAAATTTTTTCAACGAATTAATCATTATTAAATTTTATATTTTATTTTTAAAATCAAACAACAAATTTCTTATAAAGTTTGTCATTCATTTATTTATTATAAACTTTTACACTACAATTATTACTTTCTAATATTTAAATTTTATTTTTTGAAACTTTGGGAAAATTAATAAAATATAATAAAAAATAGTCTCCTTTTTTAATAGTCAACGTTCCAGTGCGTTTTTACGTTACGTTTATAATAATTTATTAAATTTATATCCTGGTGGGGTACATACATACATTCATACATTTTCATATATACATATATATAGATTCTGTTTGTGTGTGTGTGCGTTTGTGTATGTGTGCGTTTGTGTGTGTGCGTTTGTGTGTGTGTGTGTGTGTGTGTGTGTGTGTGTGTGTGTGTGTGTGTGTGTGTGTGTGTGTGTGTGTGTGTGTGTGTGTGTGTGTGTGTGTGTGTG